GGCGGCCGTGGCCGAGCTCGGCGCGAACGCGCTCGTCCTCGACGGCGACTTCGACGAGGCCCCCCCGTCATCACGACGCACGTCGTCCTGCGCGGGGCCCCGCGCAGCGTCAAGGCGCTCTGCGGGGTCGTCTCGGGGATGTGGTTGGTGGGGCCGGACTACATCTACCACAGCCACCAGGCGGGGTTTTGGCTCGACGAGGCGACGGAGGGCGGGAGCCGCATCTTCCCCCCGCCTTTTAAATGCCAGCGCTTTTTGCTCACCGTCGAGCAGGACGGGATTCGGGAGAAGCTCGCGGAGGTGATTCGATATGGCGGCGGCGAGGTCATCGGCGCCTCCACCTCACGCCCAGCTTCGGCCGCCTCGAGCAAACAATGGAGGGAAAAGGGGGCCGTGGTGATCGCATCCGGCAATGATTTACTCCGATACGCCATTCAAATACCCACTTAGGGAGATACCTATATATCTATACCTATATATATCTATATTTATCAAAGGGAGTGCGATAGTACACAACCCCACCTAGCGGAAATATTTATGATTTCACGAGATGATATCCCAGACGAAGGTGTGGGTGGTTAGGCTGGGCGTTTACACACCTTTGCTTCAAAGGGTGAGTGGGGTGTGCGAATCTTTCTTCGCATATTGGGTTACTCAACTGAGACTACGATGGAGGAGGTGACGCGCATTGAGAATATCATATTCTTCATAAAACCACCTCGCGTGTTTATGTCAATACAGTAATGGAGGAAAGCATTTCAGATTTTAGTATTATATGTTTTTTTTTTTAATTAGATATAGAAACCCTTTGGATAGTATGTTTCAGTCTCATACGCGGATTGCCCCCTCGTCCCGCCGAGTGTGCTTTTCCTTTTTACACTTTCATTCATGTGGAGAAGCCTAGCTGACGGAAGTTGAGTATTATGGTACTATACCAAACCATGAGGATTACATTTGGTACACCCACACACGCAAATCGATTTACGTGTGGGTATGTGTTTGCGGAAGTGTCAAACGGAGGGATTTATTCAAAACCATTACAATGAGGATTGCCACGTATAATACTGGTAGTTTAGTCTTGATGATCAACTCGGGTTGATACGTGGGTTTAATCTTCTATTAGGGACGTCGGACGTGGAATCGCAAGCGACAGTTTCCTCTTTTTGGGTGCATATTTTTCATTAAAAAAAAAAAGTGCCGTACATGAATATTGGCACACGTTTAATTACCTAACCTTAGGGTTTTGCCATTCTGACCTCCCTATTTGACTTATTTTGGGGATTGTTCGGACAATTTATCCTCTACAATGTGTTTCGTATATCCTTTTCCATTACTCTAGAATTTCCCTAGAATGCATGAATATTAGATCAATAGCCGAATGGACTATTTCGGAACATCTATCTTTTCATAGATAAGCAATCGTATGCTTGTAATTTACTGGTATTGATACTCATAGTTTTCCAGGGGTTTACTGTGGAAGAGGGGGGCTTCTTTACTTGATCAAATGGTATGGGGTCTCGTATTCTTTCCCTTGCTTCGAATGCTTTCCTATTTTTCTCTTTTTTATTGATTTTACATTCAAGTTGGATCTACTTTTTCCCTGTTTGCTGTTGCTTTTAGTTTTCAGAAGATCATCTATATTCCATGATGTGCTGTTTTAGTGCCTTTTCGCAGACGTTTCAGGCTTCCATGTTGCCTCTCAGGATCCGTTGAGCTGGTATTTAGTTATTTGTTTTGCCGCCGAGAACTTATTTAATAAGGTTCTATGGTTAAGCCACGTTGCGCGGAACGACTCTGGGGTTTCCATCAATTGAAGCTGAGATGAGGTGCCGAGTTGGAAGGCGTTTTCTGCAGTTGTGTTTCCCCGTTTCACTTCGCTATCGTGTACGCGGGGGTGGGCAGTAGGGGCGAGGTCTCACGTAAGGGTCTCACCTGAATCACCGTTTGGTACGCCTTAACCTTGACAACTATTGAGTATTCGATTAGGATCATTTTTTTTTTAAATATAGGTGTGTGGGTAGTCCAATAGACACGGGTTATTCTCCTTTGCGCGAATTGTTTTTTTTTCCACTTTTGAATTTAATAGAAACAAACCCAAAGGAAGTATTTATTATTTTCATACTTTGGAGGTCTTTCATTTTTGGAAAGGGATGAACAACCCGAGTTTATACGGTAGTTATTATGCACAGAATCCCATAGATGGATCTGTCGCGCCTAACCACAACTATTCCACCTACTCCACCATGAATGTGGAGACCGGGAACGCTGCTTGCAGAAGTGTTAGGAGCCACTACCCCGGGGCCGCCGAAACCACAACCGCTTACTACAACAATGACCCCACCTTCCACACTTCGGGCGGCTATTATCTCATGCAGGAGCGCCCATCTTACAACCAAGGGTACGCTTTGAACGCCAACAGTGCGGGGGGCGCCGGGAATCATTATCCCAACTCGGCACTATCCTCGACAACCCACTACACCGCCCAGACGACGCCTGCGAGCGATCATCCGACCATGCAGACCGCCTATGATGGGTCCGGTAATCGAGCCAAAGTGCCGGCGGTGATGGGGTCGCCAGAAAAGAGCCTGGAGGAGCCCCTGCAGCCTCCCCCGGAGGACCCCATCGTGGTGAACGACGAGAACCTGTGTTGGACTTGGGCCACCTACCCCAATACCGCTCCGATGAAGGAAAAAGATGGGGCGGCGGCTAACTTTATCCCACTTCCCGAGATGGTGGTCCCTTTGGCTTGTATGTACAAACCTCTCGGAGTCCTGAGCACCAAACAGCTTGTGCGCGACTCGTCCGCGCAAGGTCAGTGCGGGGATTGTGGAGCTTTTCTCAGTCGTCATGGTTGTAGACCAGGGGAGCAGCAATGGGTGTGTTTTTCATGCCAGCGCCGCCATACGCTGCCGCCAAACTACACGGAGGTGCACCCGGCCCGCCTATATGATACCGTAGAATACATTCTTCCTGGGCCGCGGTGCGTGTATGAGGACACCGACCTACAGTACCCCGTTTTCCTTTTCTTGGTGGATGTATGTCTTCACTATGAGGAGCTCAACGCGCTCAAGGCAAACCTGCTGCGTTGCCTCGAGTGGCTGCCGAGCCGTTCTTTGATTGGCATTATCTACTTTGGTGCCCGCACAACGGTGTGGGAATTGGGCAACTTCACGAATGATGGTATCGCCAAAAACTACATCATTTGCGGTAATGTGCCCTATGAAGATAATGAACTTCCAAAGCAATTGCAAGTTAGCCAACGCCGTCCCGTCCAAGGACGTTTCTTGCTTCCACTTGAGGACTGCCATTTTGCGCTCACCACACTGATTGAGGAGATCCAGGGTGATAGCGAACCACTCCCTTCGGGTCGCCGCCCCATGCGCACGACAGGAACGGCGGTCAGTGTAGCGGTCTACCTACTTGAATCTCTTCGCCAAAACAGTGGACTGGCGGGAAAATCAGTCCAGGGCACCACGGCGAATCTCTCAAAGACCACAAAGATGGCTGGTGATGGCGCACCGATAAAAACCGCGGGAAAGATTCTTCTCTTTACTAGTGGACCGTGTACGCGAGGCTCAGGGGCGATTGTCGGGCCCGAGAAGGCCGAGATGATGCGTTTCCATCGTGATATCATAGAGGATAACACTCCTTATTATGCAAGCAGCTACGCTTTTTACAACAAGCTCGCGACAAGGCTATCCGCCGTTGGCGCCTGCTTAGATGTCTTTTCCTTTAGCCTCGACCAAACTGGTGTGATGGAGATGCGGAACTGCATCAACCTCACCGGTGGCACGTTAATATGTGGGGATTTCTTCGCACATGAGCAATTTTCTAATTCCCTGAAGCGCTACTTCGATCGCTGTGGTCTAGGCGCCGGCAGGGAGGATTTAGAAGGATCCATAGCCCACTGTGGCTTAGGTGTGAGTATCGAGACCCATACCTCAGCAAACACGTTGGTAAGTGGGGTGTTGGGGCCCTGCAATGTTGATATGGCGGCGAATAAAGCGAAGCCGCATCGCGCAACGTCGCCGGTTCAAATTGGGGTTGGCGGCACAACTCGCTGGTGCGTCAGTACGCTTGATCAATGCGTGACCTTTGCGTTTGTATTCGACACCGCGATTTTGAACGAGACCAACGGAATCCCGCAAGGCCGACGCGGCGGCGAGACCCGTTTTATCCAGTTCGTCACGACCTACACCACGGTTGACGGTCAGCGGCGGGTCCGGGTGACGAGCACACTGCATCCTGTGGCCCCTCAGGCCTCCCTCCCCATTTATTACACGCAGCTCCAGGCTTTTGACCAGACCTGCGCCTCCACCGTCATCGCGCGTATGCTGATCTCCATACTTGAGAAGTTCCCCAAAAAGTGGGACGACACGAAGCGGTGGTTAGACACCCTCCTGGTTAAATTTGTGCGGCGCTATGGCACCTACACACCGAACCTCCCTGACTCCCTCCGCCTGAGCCCTTGTTTATCGCTTTTTCCATCCTTTATGTTCAACCTGCGCCGATCGGAGTACATGATGGTGATTAATATCTCGCCCGACGAGACCACCTTCAAGCGTCACTGGTTGATGCGTGAGCCGGTTGATAATTGTGTTCGCATGATTCAGCCCACCTTAGACCGCTACGACCTGGAGGCCCCTCACGCGACGGCTGTGCCGCTTGACAGCGGCAGCCTGCGCGGTGATGCCATTGTTCTCATGGACGCTTTTTTTAACCTCCACATTATGTGGGGATCCACCATATTCGAATGGATCCAAGCCGGGTATCACAAAATCCCCGACTATGCCCACTTCGCCGGGCTTTTGGAGGTCCCGGAGACGGACGCGCAGGCGCTTTTGGCGCTCCGCCACCCGTACCCACGCTTCTCGCGCACCGACGCCAACGGCTCCGAGGCGCGGCACATCAAGACGCGTGTGAACCCCTCGGTCACCTATAGCCAAGCTGGTGGGGGTTCTTTTAACCGTTCAGCAGCGAGCGCCGGGGATGATTGTGCGAATCTCATCTACACAGATGAGGCGTCAATTGAAAAGTTTATGTCCTCACTAAAGCAAATGGCAGTCTCGGCCGAGACGAAACCGTAAGGAGGTGGGGCTGAATCCATTTATCAAATAGAAGGGAGGGAAAGAAAAAAAACGACTCCGAATCCTGGTAGCTTTCTATATGGTGCTTTTCTTATCGTTGTTATTGTCTTGTGTCGTTCTTTATTATTTGAGTGCATAGAGGGGAGTATACAATTCATTTTTGCATTGTTTGTCGTGTACGGGGTGTTTGGAGATAGCTTACAGGCTATTCTATGTATCATATTCCACACATGGTAGTGCATAGGGCAGTCTCTCTTTGACAGAGTAAGGTGCTCTTAAGACTATGGCACTCACCACCTTCAGATACTACACTGTGGCTCTCTTTCACTATTTGGGTTGGACCACTCCATTGGATTCATAAAGTTCTCTCCGTGAATTTTTCTTTGTCCAATGCAGGGAGGGGAGCGTGAAAAAGTATTTACCTTATCAAATGTATTAGAATTGATTCATCTTGTTCTGGTAATGTACACACATATGCAATTCTATATCGATATGTAAGCTCGATTATTATTATCATAGGCAGTGAGTTTATGCATGATTTCTTTGAAAAGTAAGAAATCACACTTAGAGTAAGGAGTTCGTTGTTGGGTACCGTGGTTGAGGCTACTCTTTTCTTTGTTTTGTTTGTTTAACTATTTATTTAGATTGATACTGGAAGAGAGCTATATGCTTTGTTTACTGAAACTTTGCCTGAGGGTATGGTATATAATTTGTTCTCAATGCTTATTTGTATGAGCTCTAAAGGCATCACATTATTTTTTCCCGACTTAGGCTCTATTATTCTGCTAAGGAATGTGTTGTCACAAGTGGAAACTATTTTTGTTAGGAACAATGCCAAATCCGTGTCCTAGAATGTCTACTTTCACACATTTGTCCATCTTACTGTCGTCGCTTTTGATTGGAGCAATTATAAAGTTGAATAAAGGGGTAAATAAATAAAATGTTTTTTTTTTTAATTGATAAGGTAATGTCTGTGATTGCAAATACACTAAGATAATCCTTGTAAATACTCTTAAATAAATTGCTTTATTAAGGATAGTGCGGAGAATATGTAGACAATACACAAAGTATTTTTATTTTCTATAATAAAGTCTTACTCTTTTCTGTGCATGCCAGGAAAGCTATGACCAGGGAAAAGAATAAATAAGACAAGATAAAAGGTTGTAGTGTTGGAAACCCTATACGAGAACGATGGAGTAATAAATTGCAAAAAAGCCATTTCCTCTCCTTCTCCTGCATTATATTCTGTTACACATTATGACCAGATTGGATTCGTATGTGATAGACAATTTCTCATCGCTAATTTTCTTCCAAAAGCTGTGCGTATGTGCACTTTACATGTGTACCGCTAGATAATTTGAAAAAAAAAAGAGGAAACACTAATCCATATTAATGTTTTTTTCTTTGCGAGCATGCACCAATATAGTATTCATTTTGTACAGATAATTTTCTGACTTCTTCCCTCCTTCCCTGAAGTGAAATAAACTCACACTGAGTATTTATCTATATGTTGTTATTGTTGCTTGTGTATCTGCATGATTCCTCATATTTGCGTGCGTTCATATTTGACTTTTCTTTTAATATGATGTCTGTATTAATGACTGATAGTAAGAGCACTTGGGCTCTTCATCAGAGGTCCTGTTCCCTGAATCTATTTCCTTTTGTTCTTCTTTTACAAAAACAACTCAAAGGATAAAAAAAGAGAGCAACACACCCACATTACCCTGCAACTGAACAGAAGGGAAGCGAAAAATAACAAACAAAGCAGTATAATATTCTTAAATTTTTCACACTTCATACTATTTCCAGTGTACTGGTGTGGG